TGGATGTCCATTTTTTTCCTTTAAATATCACTTTTTAGCAGCTGTAGGAACAACTTCATTCGTAAAAAATAGAAAAAAAAAAAAACCTTTTCAACTTTATCATCACAGTAATCTTTCCAGATGGGGATTTATGAGAAGAGAGTGGGTTTTTAGGAATTAAAATTCCCCTGATGGTTCCTTTTGTTTAYTGTGGTGCCTCTSTCTGRAGAAAGCTGTGCTGAACTGTAGCATAAAAYATATTTTATCAAGTAAAAGTTGTATTTTCCTATTAAATACCTGCTTTGAACAGAGAGGTTTGTCCTTCTCTCAGAACATCCTGAGATCTTAGAAGCTTAAAAACAATCATTGCAACAAAGARCACAGTGAAAAGCTCTTGAAAAGAGGCTGAGTCTTTTGCTGGGCTATAAAATAATCTGGTTTTATTTTTTTTTTCCCCAGGCAATCAGCAGTTGGATGCCATTCACGTGACACAGCTGGAAAGAGACACCGTCCTGGTCTGCCTGGACAGTGAGTAACACAAAACTCTCTTGGAAAACTCACTACACCTCGTGCAAAACTTGGGTTGCCACAGTTGTTGATTTTTACTCTACCACGAGTTATGGTTTTTTTTCCTCCCTACTTTATTAATTTGTGTTGTAATATTTCCATAAAAAGATCRTTTGGATGAGTGGGATTTTATTTTTGACTCTTGTGATTCCACTTTCCTTCTTCATGTGGGCATCATTCTGKCAGGAGGGTCTAAAACCACACCAAGTTTTAGTATAAATTTTTGTACAAAGTTTCCTGTATTTATTCTGAGAGAAAGATGCTCCTGGGTTCCTTTTAGACAAGTTAAGTTTGGGTATTTCTTTGTGCCTGAAAGATTAAATTAGTATTTTACACTTCAGTCCTTTTCAGCAGTGGGTTTCAATGCTTGTTTTTCTCTTTCTCTTGAGAATTTGTGAAAATAGTGAATTTACAAGGGAAATTGAAGTCRAGCAAGAAATTGGCTTCTGAGCTGAGCTTTGATTTCTGCATCGAGTCAGTGGGTGAGTGATTTGCTTCTCTGGTGTCTCTTGGGTTTAGGAACTCAGTGTTGAAAACCTGACTGGYTTCTGGTCATTTCCATAGCAATGAGAAAAAATAATTGGGGAGGAAAAAGTGGTTTAGAGTAATCCAAAAATGTGTGTTAATCTTCTGAAAGTTGTGATTTTATTTCAAGTAGTAGCACATCTATTTTTTAACAATATTTGAATCTCATTCTCAAGCTGCTATCTTTAGACTGGGACAGGAGCCTTGCTTCTCAAACTTGAACTGTAGCTGTCAAACAAGTATTTCTGCTGGAATAAACTCTCAAAAATCACAGAATTAAATCACTCAGAGCTGGCAGCTCTGTGCTTTCCCTGTCCCTGAATGGAAATCTCCCATTTTCCATCCATGATTTGGAAGCAGCAATAATAATTGAGATGATGTGTCATTTCCAGCAACCCACAGTGCTTTGGTTGGCAGTTGATTCCACACTTCTGGGGGGTTCTCCAGAGAAATCAGGAAAAGAAGGATGCAGGGAATGGGGTGTGATTGTGTCCCTCCTTTGCAGTGTGCCTTCAGGACAGCGTGCTGGCCTTCTGGAAACATGGGATGCAGGGCAAGAGCTTCAAGTCAGATGAGGTGAGTGACCTCCACCTCTYCAGCTGTAATTCCTCCTGTTCCTTACTCACCACTCAATCCTTTGGTTTTTTTCTCTGCTTCCTGAGTGAGAACACTTGTGTTCCACAATGCTCAACATCAATTTATTCATTTCAGTCCTGTACTTTGCACTAAATTGCATTTCATTTGAATGTTCCTTTCCTTCCAGCTCACACCAATAAATTCTGTTTTGCTGCTGAAATGGATCTCAATATCTGCATTTTTTTGCAGGTGACCCAGGAGATATCCGATGAAACCAGGGTTTTCCGCCTGCTGGGGTCAGACAGGTAATCTCCCCACAGAAACAGAAACCTTTTGTTTTATTTAAACCAGCTTTTCTCACTTCCAGCTGGGACTGGCTTCCAGCCCAGCACAGCTCAGTCTGTGGGCAGCAGATGTCAGGGAGAGAGGAGAGATGCTCTTGGCTTGTAGGGTGTCCAGTTCACTTGTGCAAAAGCCTGCTGCTGCCTTGGATTGGCCTGGTGAAATTATTATTGGCAGGAGTCAGTTAAAAACAATMTTTGCTGGTCTGGAACTAGCACTCACTCAGGTTTTAATCACAGTGATCCAAATGCACATGTTGTGTCTAAGATCCAGCTGATCCCTTCCA